GTGTGTGAAAAAAGTGTGTTGTAAAGGCTTCTCCGCCTTGCTGTGGGTTGCAAAAGGAGAGTCACTATTGTATTAGTGCAATACTCAGAGGGTGCTTCTGGGAGTGATGTAGTCTGGTATTATAGACCGAACCACTATAAATCTGGTTGTGTGTCATTTACTTTACTGTTTTTACATTTCCGCACTTTCTATTTCAGTTTTAAAAACTCTGTGGTTGAAAAATCTTTTTCTACAAAATTAAAAGAGATTTTATTTCGGTTCAATAATTTTTTAAAAAGGGGGTCTTAAATTTTAACTTTTTTTAAACTACCAATTCACCCCCCGCTCTTGGTAGCCTTGGGACACTCACTTAGGCTTAACAACCTAATTACTATATTCAACAAATAGCACCCTCATTACCTGAGAATGTACAACTAGAATTCCTATACCCAGCGGTAAAGCAGACTGCATTAGAAGCTATTATCAATGGACTGAAAATCTTCTTCTTATGAACAAACAAATTCCTGGATTTCTAGAAATGATATATGGTATTACAGAAAAGGCTTTTCATCCAAGAGCTTTGAACATCAAGACACTTAAAGAATTCTTCCAATGAATGGAATTTAGAAATTTTGAACCCCCACTTGATTAAAACTTCCACTACCTCTAGCAATTTACTACATCCATAAATTATATTCTCATTATCTTCCACTATTTCACATCCTCTAGGACATAAGTCAAAGCCTTGAAGCCTTCTGTAATATAGAAATTGGTTTGTAGGAATAGCTTCATTTAGTAATCTCCACCAGAAAATATTAACTCTAGGAATAAGTTCGGAATTCTCAATCCACCTCCAAAGTTTTACCTCAGAATTGATGGGTACAACTGCTTCATCTAATAAGGCTGTTAAGGATTTTCCAGAGAACTTGTGAATGAGCTCCAATTGGCCTTCTTCCTTTCTATGAATCTTGAAGATATTAGCTCGAATAAATCCTTACCAAAGAATTTCTATAGCTCTTGAACGTTCCATTCTCCATTGCTTATGAATCTCTCCACCAATTGATCATCTTCCAATATAGGATTGATAAAGGTTGGAAAAAATAGCAAACTCTTATAAAAAATCCATGTATCTTTTAACACATTGACAGAACTACCATTGCCAACACACCATCTAACTAATGGCTGCAAAAATTTCCCTCCATTGCAAATTAATCTCCATGATACTGATCTGATTTTCCTTGCTGAAGCTTCAAATGGAATTGGACCATATTTGGGGAATAAAACTTTATGCATAAGGGACTCTTTCTCTTGAGAATACCTCCAAGTAAGCTTGGCCCTTAAACGCACTATTTTCTTCAAACAAGAGTTAATGCCAAGGCCTCTCTAACTCTTTGGTTTACATAATATGTCCCACTTAGCGTAATGGAGTCCATTACTTCCATCACCTTTTCTCCAAATGAATTTTCTGCATGCCTTTTCAACTTCAATCAGAATTTGTTTATGGACCAAGGACAAAGTTGTATGAAATGTAGGTAAAGCAAGTAAAATTGAATTCACAAAAGTAAATTTTTCGGCTAATGAGAGCAGTTTCCCACCCCATATACTTGGCTTATTCAATACTTTGTCCATAATGAACTGAAAATCAGCTCTTTTCAGCCTCGTGAATGCCACCTTTGTCCCAAAAATAAGTGAATTGATGAAGTTCCCTGAACTTCATTATTTTACAAATCTTCTTCCTTCTCCCTTTCTTCACTGACCTTCCAAAAAGAACTCCAGATTTTTGTAAGTTGTTTTTTTGCCCATCCATCCAAAGAAGTCCAAAAGAATACCTTTTGCCTCTCTAACATATTTTAAGTTAGCTTCAGAGAAAACCATGATGTCGTCGGCATAGAGCAAGTGAGAGACCTTGGGACTATTTGGAGAAATGCTAATCCCAATAGAATTTCCCCTTTATAAGAATGAATTAGATAGAAATTGAGCTCACAACACAAACAAAAATGGGGAAAGTGGACATCCTTGGCGAAAGCCACATTTAGCATCAATCCATTTTGAATAGATTCCATTGACAGGTAGAAAAAAATTTAGGTCCAATAACACATTCCATAATAACATTAGCATAGAAATTTGGAAATTCAAAATACTTTAGAACATTATTCAATGTTGGCCAACACATGGAGTCATAGGCTTGCTCCATATCAATCTTGAATGAGACCATCCCATTGGAAGAATTGGAGTGCATGAATTTGTGAAAAACTTTTTGGGCTACTAGAACGTGATCTGAAAGAGACCCCCCTTTCATGAAAGACACTTGTTCCTTAGAGATTAACTTTGGAATTACAAACAAGAGTCTATTAAGGAGAATTTTAGCCACTATGTTATAAACTGAGTTACATAAGCTAATGGGCTTGTAATTGGAAGGAGATGTAGGATTCATGATTTTAGGAATCAATGCAATATTTGTGTTTTTCCAACTATCATTCATCTTAACACTTATGAAAATGTGATCCATGGCTTTCCATAAATCAACCTTAATGAAGTTCCAATAGAATTTAAAAAATGAGTAAGTCATACCATCTTGCCCCGGTGCTATGTTACCTCCAAGCCCCTTAATGACCTTCTCAAGTTCTTCAATTGTAAATCCTCTGTTTAGAAACTTCTTATCAACTTCTTCCAAGGTTTTAATAGGAACTGGCCATCCATTCAATATACATTCCCTATCTTCCCATTTGATGTTAAAGAACCGAAATAGCACTTCCTCAATATTTTTTTGATCCTCAACCATGTCTCCTTGCTCGTTTTTGATATTATGGATGTAGTTTAAATTCCTCCTAGCACTAGCAAAAGCTTGGAAGAATATAGAGTTTGAGTCCCCATCCGTCAGCCACTTAACTTTGGCACGTTGCCTCCAAGTAGTATTGATCCGGGCTAAAACTGAATTGAGCTCCTCTATTTTAGCTTTTAGTTTCCATTGCTCATCCTTCGAAAGGTCCCCAATGTCAGTTTCCTTCTCCTATAAAACCAGAATATATGCTTTTAGCTCTTATTTAGAAAGATTGAGCTCTTTAAACTTAGCTTTACTCCAGTAGTGAAGATTCCTTAAGGTCCTTTTAATCTTTTAGTTTAAAGCTTGAGAAGGATCTCCTTGAGCTTTTCTTCTCCAGGATTCTCTCACTATTGCTATAGAAGCAGGAATTGAAGTCCAAACCTCTTCAAATCTAATAAACTTTCTGGCTGGAGAACTGAAATTCAGCAAATTCAATAAGATCTGATTATGGTCTGATGCAATCCTTGCCAAATGCCTTTCCATTAATCTATGAGGAGAGTTAAAAGCAGCATAATTAATGAGGCACCTATCCAGCTTTTCCATGATCCTTTCAGGTCCTTTCTTGTTGTTACACCAAGTGAACTTGGGACCAACACAAGTAACTTCATGTAAATCATTGCAATAGATAAAAGACTTCATCTCCTTAGTCCCCAGACTAAATAAAAACTTCCTCCCTCCTTTCTTTTCCTCCTTAGACAAAAAACAATTTAAATCTCCTCCTATAATCATAGGAACATCTTTGACCATGTGTTGATCCAAACCGTCCCATAGAAACCTTCTTCTGTAAACATCTTTGCTCCCATAAATGGTTGCTATTCTCCAAGTGCCTTTGTTGAGAACTTCAAGGTCACCTACCACAAACTGTGTTGATGCTTCCACCACTTTAAATGAAGCCATCCCTTGCTTCCATATCAATAGAATTCCTCCCGATAGGCCTTCAGAAGGAACATAAAAGAAATCCCAACCCTCTCCAAACATCACCTTGATAAGCTTACTATCAACCACTATCAACTTTGTCTCTATCAACCTCAGAAAGAACAAACCAAAATCTTTAATGAACTCCCTTGCATATAGGGAAGCTTTGCTTTTTCTCTCTCCCCTACAATTCCAAAATCCGATAGATGACATTTAATGGTCTAAGGGGAAAAGGCTCCCCGCCCTTTCCTTCACATCTCCTTCCAATTTTCTACTTCTTAGAACTAGTTTGATGGGACCAAGTCCCCTAAGTTGCTTAGCACCTTTTATTTTTGATTTTCTAGAACCATCCTCCTGCAAAATGGATTTATCCTCCAAGGAATCAAATGCTGTTGATTCATCTTTGTTTATTCCAGTTGGAACCAAAACAAAATTCCTTTCCATAATAGCAACTTCTTCAACTTCACCAATTATTTCTCCTTCCTCCCCAAAATTGTTTAAAACTTCATACTGATTGGGATTGTAATGAATTTCATCAAGATCACCTCCCTTTCCAACTTTGTAGCCTTCTCTGTTGATTTCTATGTTCTCAGTTATCACCGGAGTTTTCACTTTCTCAATTATCTTCTCAATAATTTGATGCTCTACATTCAACTGAATAGAACTATTAATGGCTCCACCTTGGTCCTCATTTCTTTCAACTACTGCTTTGAAAGATTTCTTATCGGATGTTAGTAACCTCTTCCATTTGTTTTGAAAATTGCTAATCTTGCTTTTCTTCTTCCCATAATTAACATGAATCCATGGCCCATAGCCATCTTCTATGGTCTTAGAGTGGTTTACCTCCATCAGTTTTGGATTCTCCTTCGATCTTGTTAACTTTGCATCCTCAGAAACCAACTTAGAATGATCGAAACTAGCAAATGTCTCTGCAATTGTATATGCACAAAATTTCTCCACATGTCCGATTTTCCCGCATTTGAAACAGATGTTTTGGAAAAAATTCCCCAAAGCACCTTCAACCCATACTCCCTGTTGAAGTTTGTCTTCTAACTTGATCCAGACATAAACCTGGAAAATTCACGCTTCCCCCACTAGGACATATTTTTGTCTATAAAGAATGGGTTTTCAACCATAGATGCAATTCTACACATTAATTCTATCCCAACTTTTCAAGGGGAGATTGGGTAGCCTAATCCAAACCGGGGTTGTCAATCCTTTCATGGAGGAGGGATCAAAACTTGGGGACCATTTATCTAAACCAACAATGCTTCCGTTTACATACCAAGGTCCACTGTTTAAAACTGCTTCCATAGCTTCAGATTCCTCAAAAGCACATAACACCCAACCACCTCCAAGTAGAGTCATATGAAATCTGCCATACTTATTCCACTGCCTCCTTAACTCCTGCCTGATAATATGGTAGGGTGCATTGCCCAACACCTTAACAACCAAGGACTTTTGTAATTTGGAAGTGTTATCTGCCACAATTTGCTGATGTAGTTTTACCACACCATTCTCCATAAAAGTTTCCCCATAATCAAAGTCAATGCTTTTGAAATTCAGCTTCAAATTCCCAAAGTTTGAGGTGGGATAACTCCTCCAACATAAATGTAGTTTCCAAAGTTACAGAATCGCATACGCAAACACTTTCCCATCTCTCCTTAGCTGATGGTTCTTCACGAGTAACCACTCCATTCATCTGCACAGCAAAATCTATAACGACACCTTCGACCAGTACATTTTCCTTCGTTACCTCAGCCTTCTTAAATCCTGATGAGGAACCCTTTGCTTAATCGAATCTTCCTTCTATCGACATTTCTTCAATAGAACCAGTACCAGCCTTATTCATATAAAAACTAAAGTTATTATTCTGAACAATATGTTCTTCCAGTATGATCTTCTTCCCTTTTCCAACACATTCAATATTTTTCTTTGGAGAGAGGTAACCTCCCTCATTAATCACAAGAGGTTTAACAGATTTAATCCTCAGTTTAGATTCACGATGAAACACCTTATGGTCATCACGGAAAGATGGGGGAGATGAGCTATGATTCATACGAGGAAGGATTCTTACTGGAGGATTCGAAGAGGTACAACCTTCTCCAGCGCCGGAGGTTGGCGGCCGGTGGCCCTCCACCGTCATCAGAGTAGAGAACAATTTGAGGGATCACTAGAATTCAAAAATATGTTTTTCTTTTCTCTTACTAAAACCTTGAGTTTCTCTCGCTTTCATACATTAAACAATAATTTTAACTATTGAATTTAAAAATATTTGATTCATATTTCATTTCCTTTTGCGATAATTATTATATTTGATACTTCTTCTTTCTATAATGATTATTCAACATGGTTAAGTATACTTATCTTATTTGTTCTTTGATTTAAAATATGAGTTTTTTCTTTAGGAATTTCATGTGGCTCTTGAAAATTTTTAAAATTCTTTTTCTTATTGACTTTTAAATTTGTCCATAACATCTTTCATATTCACGGGATTTTTTGTTTTCTTTCCTCATTTTTTTGATGTCAAAAGGGAAAGGTAGTTTGTGATTGTTTGAAGACTTTTGGTTTTGTGTTTTTGTGTGTTTGTGTTTTTGTGTTTTGTGTTTTTAGAAGTTTTTATTTTATGTTTATGTTGTGTTTTATTTTTTTATTTATTTTAATTAAAACCCACAGAAGGGGCCTACGCATTAATTAAAAAAAAGATTACAAGTCCTTAAGGGGGGAAAGCTATCTCACTACAGCTCCAAAGGGCTTACAAAATAAAAACCTAAGAGCCGGTGATCCCTACTAAGCACAAGTACAAAAAGACTTAGTAATAATATAAAAGAAAGAAGAGGCACTGGAATCAACAATCAGCTCAGCCTCATCAGCAAAAAAGGACCCTGCACAAAATGAGCACTAGTCACCAAAAACATGTAAAAAAGGCCTGAATGGACACTAAATATAGTAATTAACAAAATACAAAGAATAATAGAATAAAACAAAATATTATCAGGGTAGGTCAATCCCACAAAAAGATTAGGATTGTGTAGTTTGAAGTTATAATGCATAAATTTGAAAATAAATAGAGTATCAACCAGATTGAACACACCAGCAACTAAATCAATTAAATGGTTATAACAATAGAAGATACAAAATTAATTCATAATTAACAAATTAAATTTAAAAAATATAATAGAAGGACCCAAAATTACCCAGGAACGAGGAAATTGCATTGGCAGCAGTCAAAAAATACCCAAGGAGTATGATGAAAGGCAACACACAAAAACCAATCTAACAGTTAAAAGCCCTGTAGAGATACATGCTATAAGAGCTCAGGAAGTCACAAGACTAGCAACCATCACTTGGGTAAACCAAATACCGCTCAATCCTACCTTAAAAAAAACTTAGCCACGATAGGTTGAACAACACAGACAGACAATAATAGAGGAACACAAAAATGAGACACAAAGAAGCCCCAGTAATAGAACAAGGCTAGATGGAGCAACAATCTAGCACACAAGATAGGATGAAAAGAACATAAACCTCCAACAACCCTCTCCACAGGACCCAACATCAACAACCAAATGAAGAAGCCTTAGAAAATGCCCTAGTAACTGCACAAGGAAACTAAAAGATGCCCCAACATCATCATCACTGGACCAAACCAAAATAACACCAAAACCAGAGAAAGAGAATATAGCTCTAGCTCTCAACATAGCTTCCACATATACCTGCAGCCAAACAATACGGCTAATACTAGTTCTCAAACTAGCACATGAAGGTAGGAGAGAAACAAATAGGAAAACCATCAACATATAAATTGGTACAATCATACCTCAGGCCTTTAACCACAAGACACTCAACAATGATGAACTTAAGGGAAGAAGGAATCCAAAAACAGTCAATCCGCACCAAAAATACAACCAACCAGAAAGAAAACAACCTCCAAACCAAAATAAACCCTATCAAAAAGACTCAGCCAGCATAACATATTTAGTTCTAAGATAGGTAAGACCTATTTTATCCATATTTAAAAGAACTTTTAAATGACCGTAGAGATTAGAAACAAAGAGCTCAGTATAGCCATCCAAATCACACCCTAAGCTAGCAAACCACTTGGTATAAGCATTCTTCTCCCTATATATAAGAGAGAAGGAGAAATTCAAAAAGACCAACAATTTTTTAATATCTCTCACTAAATAAAAGGTATTAGAATTATACACAATATAGTCAACAATATTTAAACATTTAATATAATAATTGGAAACATCTTCAGTAGCAATGTTAAAAATGCCTAGAGAAATACATAATATAACCCCATGAAGAATAGCCGAGAGAATGGTAAGATTCTCATCAAAGCTCGGAACAGGACCCAAAAAAACATTAATAAGATTACCAAGACTATCCCTAATAACCCCACCACACATGGTGGTAGAACCAATAACAACACCAACAACATTTGACTTAAAAGAATTATTAGGAGGTTTGTGCCAGTAAACAAACCTAGGTTCAGAAGAATGAAGAGCCTCCTCACATCTAATACCAAAATCATAAGCCACAAATGAATAATTCTTAAAACCCTTAACAGAGAGATGATTAATAGAAAAAAGACCATTAAAAAGAAAATTATTTCTATCCAATCATAAATAACTCAAAATAAGGGGAGGAATATATTTTTTGATACACATATTTTCCACATGATAATAATATTAGCACTTGGATGGTAAAGTAAAACCTCTTTTAATCAATTTACCATCAGTAGGAATAAACTTATGCAGAATTGGCCAACTGAAAATAGCCATAGTCGAACGAATACTTTTTTGCCAAAACATAGAAAAAATATTAGTAGCATTAAACCTGGATCTAAAAGCATTCCAAGCATCCTTTAATCTAAAAATCCCATCTTTAGACATGTTTCAAAATAATAAATCATTAGAATCAGTGTTAAGAGGAAGGTTCAAAATTTGTTGAATTATAAAATTAGGAATAACGTTAAAAAGTTTGACATAATCCCAATAGTTATCAGAAATAAAATTGTTCACCTTAACTGCCGCTGTGGAAGAACTGTTCATAATGAC